AGGCCCCCGTGATGCACGTGAAGTGGCACATAAACCACTGAGCACTGCTCTCGTTGCGGAGCAGTCGCTGCATGTTATTGATGGCGTGGTCGGACTGAGTCCGAGGCATCATGGGTACGGCCCATCAGATGCTGTATTTGTTAATCTATCAATACTAAAGTTTACCACAACTTTTCAATCAGCAAACTAATAATCGCAAACAAAAAATGAATATATTGTGCACGTAGTTAATATTGTAAGCATTTGCCTTTCTTACATGAAATACTAAGAATCATGAAATTTTCTGAGGTAAGTTTCACGAAGAATTGAATCTGCTCACTTCGGATTATCCACTAAGGGGGTTGTACCTCTTTTGTGGGGCGCTCACACATTATAGCAGCCACCTGTTTATTATCTGCGGGCTCTCGCTTAATATCAAGCCTAAGTTGACTATATAGCATTCAGATCCTTCGCTAAACCAGAGCTTTATCCCATACCTCCTTTGGTTGCTACCAGCGACACTGATCGCGTCATTTCGTTCGCCAGATAAAGTCCGCAATACTAGACGCTCTAAAAATGCCTGAGACACGTGATCCGGCAGAATCAAAGTCACTTGATCCGGTAGAGTTTAGAAATCTGTTGAGAGAAAGCTTATGTACAGAGATGGTAAGATTGATTTATCCTATTGGTTTTATTCGAAGCCTGAAAAATTATTGGAGATCTTTGAGAAGCAGCTGGGTAGTAACGACCTAGTGAGCCTTTTCCAAGGGGTCCTCAATGATATCGAGCTAGAGAGAATGTTTAAAGCGGCTTTGAAGAACGACGATCAGGAACGTTGCTCAGAAATATTATAAAAGAATGGATGTCGGTCGAGAGCGTTGATACGCAAAGAATAATAAAGTTTGAAACGGGTCTAAAGGATGATAGGCTGGTAGAGTTATTCAGAGCTGCTCTCTCGAATGATCGCACCGCAAGGAATTTTCAAGTACTTCTGCAAAGTTCCTTTCTGATAAAACTCTTACAAATTCTTGCGTCACACTGGTATCGAAATCAGTTTGCGTTTCAAATAATCGATACGAGCAATTAGCCTCCTCTTCATCCTACGATCATTTACACTAGATAGTTTAAATTGTGTGAAGTAATCACAAAATCTATATTTGTAGTTCCTACATAGTGTTCTAACTGTAGGGCTGAGCAACAGTCGTTGTTGTAAGAAGCCTTCTTGTGGTACACTTAGGATTGGTGGCTATAGAACGTTGACCTGGCGTAGTCGTCGACGTTGAAGGACTACCTGACCTACTTTAAGTGCTTAAGCTTTTCACACAGCAGAGAATCGTACTGGAACCTAACCACACCAATACTCGAATGGTATTGCAACATCGTCTTCACATGTTACTACTATTCCACATGTATCATTTTCTTTATTTTAGCCCCCGAACGATTAATTGTGAATGTTTTTGCGTTCTTAAAAAGATTTATCGGCTAAATCCAAGACAACAAGAATTACGTGCCTAAGAGAAATCTCGGTACAAAGTTGTGCTCTTGGCTTCTTTGCAATACAGCATGTGAAGAAAAAGCAGTCGGTACATGCATTTCGCCGCGCAGCTTTTTACGCCAACTTCTTCACACGATTTGCCAGATTTACAATAATCGACAAACATAACAGCTACATTTTAAAACATAATTATTTCAGTGACAGATATATTTAAAATATTCTTACAAAGGCTGACGGTAAATTTTACATGTGGTGGGTGACTTTTATAATCACCTAAAATACTGAAAAATTGACATTATCACAACATTACTTGGTGTCGAAAGTCTTAAAGAGTGCTTTTGCGGAAATGCGCCGTTTTCGTTGGTACTGAATTGGTCTATAGCTACGAATATGATATAAAACAGATAAGAAAGATGTTATTGGATTCCTTAAACACACCACTAAAAAATGTGCATGACCCCAGTTACAACAAAAAAGAAGGACATACACCACGAAGAAGTAGGATTCGAATATAAAAATTGAGCTAGTGCTTGTAGAATATCCTGAATTTATTGTATACGAGCTTCTATGCACCCATTGTCTCATAGCCATCAGCATTCGTTCGAGTAATTAAGCGGCGATTTTCAAAAGCTTTCTTTTTAATATGGACCTAGCAGCTCCATCAATTTCTGCAGCCTGCTAGCTTACGTCACAGCTACAGCATTATGGAAAAGCTCTCCACTTTGAGGTCCGCGGGCAAAAATAGCTCAGTTGGACGATATCAACAAATTCTGGTAAAATCAGCCAGCGCCTATTGGATATTTTCGACTGGCACGCAAGAAGTAACGAGGCTTGTTTTTTAAAGGAGCAAACAGTACCACAGATTCTTCCAGCCGATGCACCTGCGGCTTGCCATTTGTTGTTCAACAAGGTAAGCATCTTATCGCCAAGCATGAGCAAGAATTTAAAAAATTCAAGAATATCAGAAACAATACAAATATGCTTTGAATAAAATAGTTCCTGGTATCAAGGGAATTTTTTACGAAAAGGGAGGCTGTCACCACAAGTGCTTCACGGCTGGATTCGTTATCACGACGGAAAGCGAGTCTTTGACACTGTACTCTGTTCTGTAAGCTCAAAAACAGGTCCAAATATCTTGTTGGTGTCCTCGTGAATGTCAACAGGACTGGCATGTAAAGTGATAAAAATTATCTTCAAGCACACTCAAGATGTGATTTGTAGGAGGGTGGACGCGAGAACCAATCCTCTGTTTGATAGACGCTCATTTAAGCCACGTTAAATTGGCAAACTTCTAGTGATAAAGGCGCAGAAATGCTATCGTTCTCTAGAGCTCACCAACCTAATCCAATCACGATAATTTATATACATAAGAAAGTTTTACAACAATTATATTGATTTGGCTCAAGAGTATTGCATTTTCATATCTCCACGCTTGCTGTTTTACAGCATTTACCTCACGATATTCAGCGCGTAGTGGTCCCTCATGATCCTGTTCTCAAGTACAGAATGCTGTACGATACGCAGATGTGGACACTTTGAACATACTTATTGCTCGGTAAGCGCTATGCACGTGGTGGCTTGATACGTATGAGTGCATAGCACAAATGAGCGCACGTGTGAACGAGTTGAAATCCCGTCGCATTGACATTGTCGTTGGTCAGCCTGGCGATTCCGGTGGAGTGTTGTCACTCCAGAAGTACGGTTCTGGTTATTGGAGGTTAGTCTGGTAATGCAGTATTGTGGACTTAACCAGCAATACTATCACCAGATGAGAAAATAATTAACCTGTTCCTCAACAAGGTATTCCCAACAAGGCCTTCTGAAATTTATTGTATCGAAATGAATCTTATGCTTTACAGACAAATTGTGTCAGCCATCAATCATCAGCAAATAAATAGCTAGATGGAATGCTTTGATCGCGTGGTGAAGAATATTCATCACGTTCTTTCTAAGGACCAGTACAAGTGTAGTGGATCGCAATCCGCTTGTTCCAAGTACTAAAGCCTTACCAAGGCAAACGAACACTTCTGTTCAAAAATGAAATTGTATTGAATATTTTTAAATGCGGCAGAGCCGCCAATATCTGAAGCCTTACGTTTTCCTTATTATTATGGTAATACCTAATTAATATAGCAAACCTAAAAAATATAGTAATTTGCATTGATACTGGCAATCCTGCCACGTGGTAGCTTCTTGTTACGGTATAGCCACACCACTGTGTTATTACAATACATACCTTTGTACGGTCGCACAATCTAGTGCGACTCGCCCTTTCATACAAGGGCACGTGTAACCCCGTTACACTCTCCCCCATTCAACTGTGATTACCTTGATTCACATTTAAAGGTCGTCTAATACGAGGCTCGCGTGTCTGAGGCACCATCACGTTCCTTATAACAACTTTAGCCCTTCTTTTTCTTCTACACAGGGTGCATCCTCGGACAGTACATCCGCGGATCCGCTCCAAGCCCTCGGCAACCGAGCGCAGCACAACGCGCCCGCCCTGGGCAACGAATTTCTTCGTGGAGGGGCTGGAGAAAGTCGACTTCGAGTTGGACACTTTCCCAGCATGGGATAACGAGAAAGATGAAGTGCGCCAACGGCGCGACATGAGCCCAGCTCAAACCTTGCGGACATCATGTCCGTTTCCCGACCTCTCGGCTTCCGGGGAAGTGGTATTATCGCCAATCACCTCGACAAGGCACAGGTTACAGGGCAATTATTCTACGCTCGTATGCACGTTCGGTCTGGGACTCTCGTCTGGAATACGGCTTCCGCTCGGCATATCCCGCTACTGAAGCGAAAAACGCGACCACTCGATCGTTAAGCGTCTACGTAGTCGGGGCCCCGGCCACTACACAAGCTAAGCTTGATCAGCGGAAAGCTCTCCAAGCTCGCTTTTTTGGGACCACAAGTGATCCCAATGGATCGGGACCGCGCTCGACTTCAAGCTCAGATAGGAGATGCTCCTGTGTTTGCAATGCGGACTATTCCTATAGTGCTGGGCTGCAAATGATGAGGACCACTTTGAGCGATGGGTGCAGCGGCGCCGGAAATTTTTTTCGCTACCTACCCTACAGCGAAGCCACAAGGAAGTGGACGTGCACGTTGAGCGCCATCTTAGATCTGAGTTTGCCAAACTCAAGGCGCAACGCCGACTTTCTGCGTTTTGTCGCCTTGCGACATATGGAACAGTCCATTACCCTCCCGCGATCGCTGAAATTCCTCACACAAGTGAGGCTACGACCACAGCAGCTCAGGGCCATAGCTCATGGCCCACCAGCTTCCTGGGCTACTGCCAAGGAGCGCGGTGAGCAAGACGACGCAAAGCGTCATGATTCTTCCAATTATAAGCGTCAACAACGTCGGGAAATTTTGCCGAGGTGGCACCTCAAACTCCCACGAGCTCTCGGAGTTTAGGTATCCCCGCATATTGAATAAGCCCTGTCGGCGGCGGGTGATGACGACTTCGTCGATCGCCGTCCGGTGACTCGCGATGCTCTTTGAGCGTTTGAAGACAAAATCCGTCATAATCGGCACTCTGCTGAGCATCTCTCCGAGGTTGCCTATCGCTGTTCGAAAAACTCGAGAGCCTGGAGCACTTTGTGCACCTGCTGCATCACGTTGAGGATTATCGTGCTCTGTTGGAGCGGCTCCTAGCCGTCATGCACACGAATACGTACGACGGTATAGCGCTTTGCGCCGTTGGAAAGGTAGTTTTTGCACTCCGTGTTAACTGATTGCTGTTTCAACTTCTGGGTGGCCGAGCTCCATTGAGTACCGTCCCGGCGCCAACACTTCCGCGTTCACTTGCGCCGGATCCCGGTATGGCTTAAGCAAGCCCACAAAAAACACTGGGTGGGTGCGCATCTTCCTAAAAAGTTCAGTGTGTACGCTAGGCCTCGCTTTGCCACGATCTTAAAAGGTTCGATAAATTGTGGACGAAGCTTCGTCTTAAAGGCAGTAAAGACTACATGAGTAGGGAGGTTTTTGGCGTTTAATTAAATCAGGTCTCCGACCTCAATAATTTCAACATTTCTTCCTTTTTCATCTGCATATTCCTTCTGCATGTCTTGGCTTTCAGATATCGTGTCGCGAACGTGTCGTAAGACACTTAGTCGAGTAGACTGGTAGTCTCCGACTTCTTTACGTACAGGGAGGGGGCTGATATTGGCATGCCATTAGGCTATTCATATCCCCCCACCAAGCCCTGAGCCATGGGACGGCGGCGTCAGCGAAATTCGAGAATTAATAAGCCCGTTCACATAGAACGGCGTATAGCCGGTAGACGAATGCACTGCATTGTTCAGGGCAAACTCCACAAGTGGCAACATAGCGCTCCAGCGCTTCGGCGTCTCA